CCGCCTCCCATGTGCTTCCCAGTCACTTGACTGCAGACACACTTGACTCGTGGAATACAATCCGCATAAGCAACAACGCACCCACACACGCATGCATGAATACGTCTATCAAATGCAGGATGTATGTGCCAGATCAGTGCAGCAGAAACAGGTAGTCCATCCGCTGGATCCACCTGCGTCTTAGGGAAGCAAAGGTCGCTTTTGGTCCGCTATTAACCCCTTTTCCACCACCTGGCCACGCGCCACGTAGCCTCGCGACTGGCCGACTTGAGATTCCTCATATGAGTGAGATCCGTGGGTCCCGGTACCGGTAGTTATCTAAAAAAAATCGCTTTCTACGACATTCGAAATGAAATAGAAATCCTGAATCAACAACCGAACTCTCACGTAAATGTTGGAAGGTCTTCGTGGACAATAGATGCGAGGAAACGAATGGAATGTGAGAAGTGCTAGGATCCGCACAGTGGACGTGAGGATGGGTCGTATAAACTAATTATGAAATAATAATACTTCGTGAATTGGTCAGTAGTCTTGTTGACAGAGCTGAGTACTTAATTTTTCGTAACCTGTTCGTCTCGTTGTTCTACCGTTCTTATCATTTTCTCTTTTTTTACTCTAGCAATATGTCACTCCGCCTAGTCCATGCGGTATTCGCTAATTCAACGAGGTGATAACGTCTTCACATTTACCTTCTCCAAAACGTAGCTGTCACAATCATTGAAAAAGCTGGCGCACGGATGACGGTGGATTGTTTCATTAAGTAGTTGAAGAGAATGCCCTGTATGCATGGATTTAAATTAAAACGGATTTTTGGCGCTTGTTTGTTAACGCCAGTTTCTCTCAATTTCCTGCTTGAACGCCTTTAGTTGAAATAGCAACCATTAGAATTTACAGATCTTTGCCACCTAGGTGCAAGCTTTTTATCCTGTTAGGATGAAATCTTGAATTTTTTGAGCCCGAGGCCTTTTCTTCAAGGTTCATCAAGATCATGTTTGGAATACGAAAAAAATCGAGTAGGATTTTGCCTAGCAAGATGCCGCTCTGTAAAGGATAAAGCATGAAGCTCTAGGCATTGATCAATCCCTCAGGAATGTGCAATGCAATCTACTTAATGAAGCATCGTTTGGAGGTGATTAAATGCGTATCTGGCCTTTGCAATGAGTCGCGGTGGCCAACCGATGTGTCGAGCCAGTGATTCTATCCTCTCAGACAAGTCTATTGCCAATTTGCCGATTCCAGAGGAATGCAGGGTTTGGTGGACCATTGGCGCTGAGATCGTTTCCACGTGTGTGTTGCAGGGCGCCTCCGTCCATTGCGCAACGCGCCCCTACTCCGTAGCCGTTCTATAACGTTGGTTTTTTGCAGTTAAGGCCCTTACGTTAGTAACTTAGAAAAAGCCATTTTGTAAAAATTGTATCATTCTCGCTGATCGAGAAGAGTTTCTGCTTAGCTACATGAAGTTATACGCTTCACAGCTATTCTAGTGTTGGAGTGTTGTTACTAGTTGTCGAAAAACTAGCCTTGTGCTCATTTCCTAATTTCTGGCATACTTCACTGTTTGATGATTCGCAGCCCATAAATTGTCACTCAAACAGGCATTTCCATATTGCCGGTGATTTTGACGTATTCAATAAGAAGTGCTTAAGATGATCAATGGTATTGTCGACATTATTTCATGTTTCAAATTTGAGAGTTGGACGCAGGAAGCACAGTAGTAAGAACCGCCGTGTAGTACAAAAATGGTTGCTCATTTGATGCCACCCTATGCAACCATGTCAAAAAATCTTCTTACATTGGCTATTTTTTATTATACCAGACTTTGTCTGGTAAAAGAGCTCTCACTGATCCACAAATGTTAGCTGTTGGCTGTATCGAAGGTCTAGGAAGAATCTAATAGAGCTGTCCTAGGGTTACAACGATATTGGACAACGTTCATAAAGGAGAAAAGTGTTAAAGTAGTAGTCGATCCCATTGCTGGAATCTATATGTGTGAAATTGAGTCATATAAAAAGTGCTCCGGAATAGCAGTAAATTGCATGCATGAGTAATTTCTTGCTTCTAGTTCACTTACGGGGAAATTTAAAGCTCTTTGCAAAGATTAGCCTATGACCTGCATCTGGATGTGGCACAATCAGCTGCGATAGCTGAATTACGCCAAGAATTCTGCTGTACAAGACATATCCACACTTTGTACGGAGTCATAGAAGTCTGCCAAGATTACAGTATGCCACGTGTTCTAATCTTTGGGGACCACAAGAAATCATTCAACACCGTTCGAAGAGACGTATTCTTATCAGTGCCCATCGACAAGGTAGTGTGTCCGTCACAAGTGGAAACTCTAGCTTGAACCCATCGTAAATGCATCACTAAATTACAACTTTTAATCGACTTTTTACGATCTGCTTGGAAAAATGTTTTCTAAAGGGGCCACCATCTCGACGAATGTTTTTACTGTCGTTTTGTTGCAGATGATGATGTCACTGCTTAGAAAGTGTGGTGAGTATGGTATACTTATTGATAGCGAATTTCTAATAAATCTACTATTTGTTGACGATGTTTAGTGTGCTTAACAAAATTAGGATAAAGAATAGCCCATATCGGTGTTCACGTAAAAACAATGGCGTGAAGACGAACAAATCGAATTGCATAGTTCTCCGATTATACAGACCACCTCGTTCGTTTACTATAGGCGTTCGGCGGGCATGGAGAGCAGTATGAAGTAGGATGAAGGAGAGCAGCACAAGGCACGTTTAAACCTTTCAAAAACGCCACCTGCGAACTAACTAACCCAAAACTCTACGATTACCTTTTCGATTAAACGTTTCTCCCAGCGCTCTGTTATGCAGCAGAGAAGTGCACTGATACTTCAACCACGTCAAGATTTCTGCGCACCACCCACAGAGCGCTTGAACGATGTCTTCTGAAGTATAACCGGCATGTACAGTCTTTAAGCGGAATGCGAAGCTGTGATCTTCGAAATTTGTCTTGTCTTGGAGATCTAGGAGAACATACATCGTTACCGAAAAATAGATGGGCCTATCATGTAATGTAACAAGAAGAAAAAACGGCATATGGACGATGAGAGCAATGTGGTTTACTCGAAAAAGTTGCAATGTCCTTTGGAAAAACTACCTAAACGATGGTAGACATATTGATAGCTTACGTTAACCATCCGCATTCGTAGATGGAAACAATTTTTGGGTCAAGAAACATGCTCTGCGGATTTTACCATGTTCAGGACAGACCACTGGCATGGACGACAATTGCGCGAGAAAGAAACGAATGGAAGGTTAGAGGGTTGAGGCTGGCACTATTCGTGATGATGCGCCTTTTAACTGTCTAAGAATCAAAGTGAAAAGGATCTTAAAATACGAATTTTACAATGAAAGTTTTTTCTAGAATTCACATGAAGTGCTAGTCAACGGAAAGCAAACTGTTTTGTTAATCATAGTGCATAACTCGGTCCAGTTTTTTTTTTTGTATTTTTACTTAGCGTTCTCTTAACCGTCTCGAGGAGAATCTTATGTGGCCCACCAGAACATTGTGTTACTGGCGGCGATACTTTTGCATCGACCTGAAAAAGTCGCGTCAGATGGTCTCTACAGTTAGTTGATAGATTGCAGGGAAATTTGCCACTTTGCGAGTGGGATCCTACTAGGATAGTGTTCATCTCTTGATCTCTGGGTTTCGTTTACTCTTATACAGGTTTCCGAATAAGACATAGGAATCCTTCTTGGTTCAGTTAACTGTGTCGATGAACTACCGCTTCCTGTATCCGTTTCACATCCATGAAGATTCTTCGGTGGGACACCCTTTCTATAGAATGACAAGTTGCTGCAAATCGCAGTTGGATTGTCAGGAAACGTTTTTAATTTCTTATTTGGAAAAAAAGCTAAAATAAAAACTTTAATATTTACGAATAGGTGGTGAGAAGAAAGTTTTTAGAAGGAAAGCACACGACGTCATGGAAATGAAAACGAGCACGGTTTTCGAATACAACGACGGAGAGAGGTAACATTGTTAAAACCTGGTAGCTAAAATTTATTATTTAAAAGAATTGACCACTTTGCCGTTTTGAAATTATCAACAATTTATCTGAAACTTAGAACAATTATATAATTCTAGATTTAAATGTGTTTATATTTTTGTGCTTACACTACGTTGATAAACAGTTTTATTCGGCTAACGTTTTGACGTTTACGTCTTCATCGGAGTCGACGATCCGAGTCGACAGTCCACTGTTTTTCTTCGTTTCGATGTGGTGTCTTCGCCTTCATATCGAGTTTTGTCTACCTCAGCGGACCATCTCTCGAAGGAAGAGATCTAGAAGGAAGATCTCGAAGAGGAAAGACCTTCCTTCGAGATCTTCCTTCTAGATCTCTTCCTTCGAGAGATGGTCCGCTGAGAAAGACACAACTCGATATGAAGGCGAAGACGCCACATCGAAACGAAGAAAAACAGTGGACTATCGACTCGGATCGCCGGCTCTGTTGAAAACGAAGGCGTCAAAACGTTAGTCGAATAAAACTGTTTATCAACCTCGTTTAAACTTATGAAAGAAAAAATACATGTTGATTGGTAATACCGAGATTAAAGGAAAGTCGCGTTTGAAACATTGTTAGAATCTTGTGATTAGAACCATTACGATGCTGAGATATTCGGAAAACTTGACTCCCGGCCAGATCGAACCACGATTTCTCTTTGTGGGAGCTCGTGCATTACACATTAAGCCACGGAGGGCCTTGCTCTGCCTTTCTCTTAGCTAGTTTTTTGCCTAACGCTGCCATAATCATCCGTCGTCGGGATTGATTTAGCGAGCACAAGTCGGCATTGAACCTAGTTAAGCTGACGGTGTAATTAAAATCACAATGTCAACCTTTTATTTTCTTTGAGCCTATTGTTGGAGTTTTCAACGCAATATTCTTTTTATCTTGGTAGTTCAAAAGCACTAATGAGAACAAGATTATTCGCGAAATGATAGAATAATCTTGGTTTAGAATATGTTTTATGAAAACATTATCGTTCATTTCGACTTGAAAGGAGCACCGCCACGGGTACCTTATTTTCTCGAGCTGCTGGATACTGTAGCAAAATCTGGCGCCACTGGTGAGTGTCGTTGCGTCCATGTTCCCAAAGTGCAATATTGCCTTTTTTCTTATAATCTTCCTTTATAAAGAGACCTATTGAACACATAATGGACGGTCTGCGTTTATTTCGATACACATGCTCGAAAGCAATAGATGCTTTTAACTTTGCAGCAACGCATATCAGAGCATAGGGGACTTTGCTAATTGTAATTAATTGCTGTAATTGTCATCAGAATCTACAAGTCTTTAGGAACAAGTCAAATTCTCCTGTTCTGCAACGATAAAGCTGTGATTTACTGAAGCCAATAAAAATAGGTTTTAAACAATTTTTTGCATGAAGGCTCGTATTTCGAAGAAAAAGGTAAAATTGAAAATGCGATTTTCCAACAGTTCACAATGATAGTTGGCAATGTGTTGCTGCTGGCTGCGTTTTCGTCTTTTAGCTTTGAAGATTTGAATTCGGTTTTCATCATCGTTGCAAAAATTACATGTATATATAAAAACATATCCATAGGTATACACATATGTATATGTATATATCTGTGCACATTTCGATGGCTGTAGATCAAAGTTTTATCTGTAGGTTTATCAAGCTCTAAACCCTTCATATACTCTAGTCGCGGAGAATTTCCCAGTAGCTATCAAAAAAGCAACATCGTCTGTGTTGACTGCCTAGCGAATCAGAAGAGAAGGCAGTTTTTCCAGTTTCTCTTAGAGAAACGCTCTACCACCAACAGACTACAACCCATAAAGTTCTATTTAAAAAATTTTAATATCTAAGGAATTATGATTGAATGGGAGGATATGTTCCCATGGATGGGACAGTTAGCAATTGCTAGAAATAACGACGCTTACTCACTTGACGATGTACAGAAGATTTTAAGCAGAGCCAGGTATGTGGTTTTTGCAGTGACTTCATGACTTTTCTTTTTCTTATTTCACGCAAAAAAATAGATGCACCTCCCAACGGTTTACCGCATCATCGTGGCTGGGAGGTGTACCTAGGTGTCGGGCCGCGATGTACGGCGGAGGGATTCGTCTCCTCAGCAGGGTATCCCAAACTGAGGAGTCCGGAGTTTCTATCAGGAAGCCCAGCTAAGAGTAAACCAATACTAGGATCCACCACCGTCCTGGTATCGGAGTCGCATGGTGGCAAATCTTCCTTTGATCCACAAAGGCTGCAGCTGCCTGTGGTGGTGAACATTTGGGGCAGACTTTGGCCGGGCTGACCTCGGGATTCCAGGGAACCACGATGGCTTAACCAGAAAATGTTCGAAAAATGGTGATTATGCTGAAACCCGCTCAACCAGTGAGGTTGGGCCGTTCAAGTATCAAGTAAATGGATGCACAGTAAGGTCAAGGGAACCTTCAGTTCAGAACTCAAGATTTTGTTTTTGAAAATTTTGAGATGTGAACGCATGTCGAAGAAGTCTTCAGTAAATCCATTGTGGGTTTTAATTCACAAACACCGTCCTCATAAGGTCAGTGGCAAGTGTTCTTAAAAAAACTTTTATAAGTATTTGGTTTAAAGGACCAGATTAAGGTTAGCGTATATTACAGTAGAAAAGAGCCGATGTTAGTTTATCTTACGGTATTGCTATCTCTAATGTCTACATATCAAACGATATGAGTCAAATAGCTGGAATAAAAAGTGTCAAGTTTAGAAAATACTTTTAAATTACTGTTTTTGTTTAGTTCTTAAAAAGAACTAGCAAAATTTAATTCTAGAACTTAAAAATTTATTTATTACAGTTAAACTACAATTTCAGAGATCTCAACCTGGAGGTCATTCCATTGGTTCAGACATTCGGCCACTTGGAATGGATTCTGAAACTTGAACAGTTTAGAAAATACCGAGAAAATGATGAATACCCACAGGTAAAGCAAAAATTTTTGCTATATAATACCTAATTTATGTTCTTCTTTTAAAATCTTTCTCTTTTTCGTTTTTCTATTTCCTTTTGTCTATAATGTATTGTTTGGCCCATTTTTTTGTCTCCTGCCTTTCAATTTTTTAAAATTTTTCTTATTTTTCCTTTTTATTCCTTTCCTTTACTATCTTGATAAGGAAAGAGTTTTTTATCTTTTTAGTAAATTTTTAACCTTTCCTAAGATTGCCGGGATATAAATTCCGTCCACATTGCCTTTTTTCTAAATTTTTGGCCATTGCAAGAGTGGTGTAATTTTCGAGTTGTGCTTCATTCTAGAACTTGGTATTCCTCAAATTATTTTTCAGTGGCATGAAACCAACGGCATTCGGGAGAAGCAAAGTTCTGAGAAAATGCCAGGTTGCACAGAACTTCCTATCTAATTCACAAAATTGTCTTCGTAATCAATATTAGGGGATTGTTTTACTTGTGGCCCTCTTTCTGAATAGCGTGGACCAATTTCTGAAGGAAAGTAGAACAAACGATGGAGGCTTCAATGGTATCGCTTTAAGAGCGTGAGTGCCACTTAGTAGGACTTTGTAGATTTCATATAATACACACACTTTGCCAACTGGGTAACCTCAGTTACTGGACAACCACCTATCCCTGCCCTCTTTGGTCAGAAAAACGGTACCGACTTTGTACGGGATGATACCACTCTGATACAGGAAAACCGATGAGGAAATGGCAACGATCTAAAATATCGATTTCGGAGTTACAGTAAATATCAACCCAACGGAGATTCTAAAGCATTCGTGAAAACGATAAAACCCTTAAGTGGTATCCGGGGCAAAACGCGACTCTGAAGAAATTCGTGGATAAGAATGAGATAAAACGAATGAAATGAAGAAAGCGCAAAGATCCATAGAAATGATAAGCATCTAAACAAAAAAAAACTCAAGTAATTCTTCGTGTTTTTGTTGAGCAAACACGAGGTGTTATTATTCTTTATTCACAAATAAGCTGACGTTTCGGCGGATTTCGCCCTCCTGAGAGCCTGG